AAAGTATAATTCCTGATACGAAAAAAGCTATTGCATCAGCTGAAAAGTCCATTGACCTGTTAGAGAATAGATGCCGGCAACTGGAGGATGTTATATCTATCAAGGATAAAAAAATTATCGCTCTTGTTGATCAGATCCTTTCCTACACAAAGTACAGTGATATAACTATAGAACCAGATATGTATTCTAACATTCGTGAAAGAGATTTATGGGCGAAGAGGCGTAGCGAATCTGAATATGATCTAGAAGTTCAGAAAAAATATACATTTTGGGATTTGGCAGGTAAATGATTATCTGAGGTAATTGATTACCCAGAATAGCTAGTTAGAAGTATTGCCCAACGATTCGATTTCCCTTTCCAAGTTGAGCGGAGTATCCTATCGAAGTGAAAAAGATTCGGATCTCGATTTATTTATATCGATGACCACAAATTTCTTTTGTCTCAAATAACCATCGAGGACCTTTGAAGCTTTGTGCGAATCAGCATCTGTATAATGTCAGCAAGTTTTCGAGTTGAACCTCCACCACTGAAGAGTACAATATGCGTTGCATTTTTACGAATATCCGTAGGAATCCTGTGAAATTTTTGTGAGACATAAATAGAAGAAATATTCTCGTGGCAACCTCTACTAAAATATGGAATAATTTTTTTCTGTATAACTGGAGGGTCCGAACAGACATCCTCAAATATCATTAGTGTACTTCTTTTAGCATTGAACTTTTTTGGATCTGGAATTTTATCAGGAGTGAGTGTAGAGAATGTGATATCTTCATAGTATGGCTTGGATTTATCTTGTGCGAGATATTTATAAAAATTTTGAACGATACCGTATTTAGGCTCATCAAGGTGGTGGCCACATAATATCACATCATCACATTTAATATTGCGCTCACCTATTTTAGAACTCTTTTTTTTCCCAAACATGTAATAAAATTTGTTCATTACTAGCAAGTTTAGAATCATATTCGTTTTACCAGAATTGCTAGTCCCTACAACTATAATTCGAAAAGGCCATGGCGATACGTGAGGATCACCCTGATACTTTTTCGAGGACTTGACTTCATCCACCGCGAATATTACGTATTTCATGATTCGATCTAACTAATTATTATATTGAAAAATAATGTAACAAGTTCCGGCAATAAATGTTCTACCCAATTTTTAGATTGCTTTACCCACTTGCATCATCCAAATATCCCTTTTCGATTAATGTATGTCTAATAAACGGATAAAAATCTGCAGTATAGGGTACTTCGATAAGACATATGCCTTGCTCCTTGCATATATCCCGCTTCTTCTGATCACGTATTCTCTGTTCATCCAAATCTATCTGGCCTTTCCTATGATACATTGAATTAAGACTATAGTGTTGCTTGCCATAAAATTCGAATCCTAGTCGCAACTCTTCATTATATTCATCGAGTTGCATCCCATCCAAAAAATTCGGCCTACATGATGGGAATTTCTTTCCTAACAGATCCTCAAAAATATATCGGCATTGGCGTTCACTGCTTCTATGGTGGCAAAGAGGACACCATTTGAATTTTTTCATGATATACTTTAATGGATACTCCCATTGATGCGCACTATTTTCACAAGACCAAAGATATACATTATGACTATTTATTTGCCCAGTCTTTCTAAAACATTGACCACCACGCTTCATGGCATAATCTTCAGCCTGAACTGACTTACTAGAAGCATGAACATAATGGATAAATCCAGTAGGGTGGTATTTTCGCATAAATTCATCTGGCGGATACTCGATTTTATCAGGCTCTTCAATTTCTTGAAGTTCCTCATATTTAAAGGGCCTTTTGGGGTTTCGTCCTATCAGATGAGCAGTTGATTCAA